GGCAAAAGCTAGGCTTTCTCTAAATGAATGTAAATGGTTGCAGTGGTAAAAAGAAAAGCAAAAGCTAGACCGTCGCTGTTCGGGGATGAAGTGTGGATATGAGAGGGTGGGGCGATTGTAAGTATGAACCGCAGCAAGGCCCCTAGGGGTTCGCCAGCGCGAGGGCGAAGCAACCTGCCCGCGCCCCCGCCTGTGGCATACGTGCCCGGCGTAGCTTTTTGATCATCGTTTCTTGCTCCTGGGCCTGGCCTACTGCAGATCTCGCATGCCGGCTAGCCAGCATGACTGCGTGGCCGGCCGCGCAACTTGAACTTCTAACAGCCTTGGATGCGTATCTTCTTTTCTAATCGATCGTTTGCTTTTTTATCATCGTCTTATCATCATCATCATCATCATCATCGCCATCGTCTATCCTGCGCGGGGTATTGCGCAATAGAGGGCTAAAAAGTTTCTTCGTGGCAGCAGGAGAGGGCGATTTTAGTTCCTTCATTGCTGCAGACGCGACCTCTACTGTCTGGGTGGTTCTGATGTGTACGCAGGAAAAGTACGAAGTCGGACCCTCAATACGTACGCAGGGACAGAATCGCGCAAACAGGGGGGGGGCTTGCGGCGGTCTTCCCCACGACCGGGAAACTGCGGCGCCATCCCCCAACGAAGGCTTCGCGTGTGTTCCCTACCGAGTACCACTGCGCCTCTGCGAAAAAAGTTCGCGCAAGCGGCTCCGCGTTCCTGCGGGACGGGTTGGGGCCGGTCTCCCTCCCCCCAGGAGTGAGCCGCCTTCCTTGCTTCCTCACCCACCACCCCCACTAACCCTACTACCCATTCTAGCGCAAGTTTGCGCTGTCACGCCGAGCGGGCGAAGCTATTCGATTCTCGTAGTAATCTAGAAATCTTCCGGACCAAGACATTTTTGCATTTGATAACAGCGTTTTGTCTCCCCGCCCGTACCAGAGGATCACTTTTGAGTGTATAAGCTGCTCAGCTGTCACAATCTCAAATCGGTTATTTTACCATAGAATCAGTATTGCGGACATCTGTGATGCAAGAAGTGCATCATCTACTTACCCTACTCCCACAGGATTGATGCGAATGACAAGTTCCGGAAAATAAATTGCCCAAACTGCAATGAGAATTCGGCTCAATTTGTGTTGCAGAAAGTGGAAGAACTACGCTGTGCGACGAGTCTGTCATGCTCATCATGCAACACGCAAAAAAACCCAGACTCTGCTGTAACGTTTGAGATCGTAATACGTTTGAGCAGGTCATAGAGTCCAACGCGGCGGAGATGATGGCACTGCGCTGGTCCTTCGGCAGCGTGTAGTTGTCTTCGCCTGCGGCCTGCATCGCTTGGAAAATGTCGTGCAGACTCAACTCGGGTTCCAGATCGAGGTGCTTTTTGTCAAACATGGAGGACGGAGATCGTCCGACGCCAGGTTCCGGTCTGGGTCCATCCACACACCACACCATCCACGGGTCGTTCCAAAACTTGAGCACGGCCGGGGTCTGGTATTAAAAGGAAAAATCCCAACTCCCCATATCGAAAACGAGACTTGTGATGCTGTATTTGAGTACACAAGTCGACTTGTAATTGCAGAAGGCGAGGCCAAGAGCCGCACCTGTGGCACCGTTTGCAGGCAATTTATCATGCTGTTTCCCACTTCCAGGCGCCTCCTGTCATGCTGAACATGCAAGGCTTTCCCACGCCACCCAGCGCTACAGTGCGCATCTTTTCCCTTCTAGCACGACAAGGCTGATTTGTGGCCACAAATCTGCATCACGGATTTCCGTTTTGATATGGAGAAGGGGGATTTTTTTTCTTGATATCTGGACACTCGTATTCTTCGTCCGCTGCCGAAGTGAGTCCCTTATCCCACGAAAAAACTGTTTCACTGTGATGGTTTTGCAAGATCCGCATCACAAGTTTGCTACACATGACACAGAAAACTTGCCATGCGCGCTTCCCAAGGGAAAACACCTTAAAAATCCAATGCGTTGGAGGTGTAGCAAGACAAATAGTTCTGTGTTCCATTCCATGCATCACAAGTTCACAGTGAAACAGTTTTTTCTTGCGATATCTTTCTCCTCCTCCGTAATCGGGGCCTTGTACAGGTCAGAGTCCGAGTCCAGTCCTCCCGGGTATCAAATGTAAAAATGTCTGGGTCTGGAAGAATGCACCTTGTGATGCTGCGTCTGCATTATCCAAAAATCTGTATTGCATGAACAGCAAAAGAGGTCTGGTTTTGGCCACGGCGAGAGGGCATTTCTCATGCGGTAGAGGCATCAGAAAGCCCACCTCACAAGATCTGTGATGCTAGGGCATGCATCGCAGACATCAAGAGTCACGCAACATGTGCATGACAAACCTTGCATCCTTCCAGACCCAGACATTTTTGCATTTGATACCGGGGACTGCCTGCTGACATTTCCGAGTTCTCGGCCACCCAAGGCGACAAAGGACTCGCAGAGGTACAGCCCGTTCGCCTCCAAATTTTTGTCCGTCAGCGTGTCGATGGCCAGCAGGTCCCGGACTTCGCCGCGCAGCAAAACCCCGCCCTTCTCGAAGCATCCGCCCACCAGATTTCCGTTGTTTATCGTCCACCTTTCTTCGCCGAGCCTGTCCTCCAGCTCCTTGCCCTTCGTCACCTCTGCCGCGAACATCGGCATCTCCTTCAGGTGCGGCGACGAGACGGGAAAGAGGAAGGCGGGCGTCGTATTGAAAGGAAAAATCCCCCTCCCCATACTGAGAATTCAGATATATTTTTGGAAATTTGTGATGCTGATTTGTGGCCACAAATCGCGTCTGTCTTGCAAGCAGGCAACGCCGCACGCTCCGCCGCATTGTGCAGACGGTTTGTCATGATGTTGGGCCTACAGCGCCGACGTTTTTCATGCTAAGCGCCTAAGCCAAAACCCGTCTACTCGCACTTCGTATGGGCCTGCAGTGCTCTCCAGCAAGACAGCCCGGATTTGTGTACACAAATCCAGCATCAGAAATTTCGTTTTGATACGGGGAGGGGGGATTTTTCCTTTCGGTACGTCGTATCACTCGGCCCAGTGCACCAGCCCAAGTCCTTCTCCTCATAGGGAGTATAACTCTCGTAGGGATTCGGCTTCAGCACATTGAGGTGCGCAACCGGGGGCACGACGGAGGTGGAGTGTGCACCAGACTTTCGTCCTCCCTCTTCGCTGTCTTCCTTCGCCAGGGCCGCGGCCTTCTTCTCGGCAGTTCTTTTCCCCCCGTGGCGCTTGCGCAGAAGGGTAGTCGCCGTTGTCGTTTTCGGCTTCACCGCACCGCAAAAGCTCTTGGGCCCAACCGGTCCGAAGGTAGTTGTGATCACAGAGTGGAGAAACGGGGACAAGATCATCTTCTTCCCCGCAAGGCGTTGCATGGACGATGGCATCGTGCTCATGATCTGGTGCAGTTGTAGTACACGGCTAGGTTTTCTTTGTTGATGACTTTTAGCACAATTTTTTCTTCACCTTCTGCGTTGTTCTACCCTGTAATTGATGCGACCCAGAAGAAGTTATTTTCAAATTTTGCTCCAACTACCGTAGTTCTAGTTGTGCCTCGTAGTTACGAGCCTCGGTCGTGTACCACGTAGTACTTACAAGCCTTACAAGAATTTTTCCCGGTTACGTACAATTCTTTGCGCAAAAAAACTGGCTCTACTTCGGTTCTTCCCATGTTGGAGCGCTTGGAACATCAATTGTAGGGAAATAGAGAAATAACACGAGCTGCAAATAAGCGGGAAATTATGATTATGAATCTGAACGATTCTGCTGGTAGAAACGACCTTGAATCTGTACAAGTCGTACACGACCCAGATCAGACGAAGAACCTGAGGGTGGTTGTGCAACTAGATAGGGCACCTCCGTAAAGGAATGGACCACGACACGAAGCTCCAACAAGAAACCACGAGGACGTTTATTTTTGCCCATGTAGCACTAGCAGCTTTGTCATCCTTTCACGACAAGACTCCTGACGAAGTCATGTATTAAAAGTACCCCAAGATATTTCACCTGTGCAGGAGCAACAAATACGACGACGATCCAGGGCAAAAAGCCACGAGTTTCGCAGTGCTCGCTTGTAATGTTTTTATTATTTCATCGATTTAATGTACGCAACACCAAGACGCTGTGCCCATCACTTCTTCCGGAAGAAAAGCTCCGAGGTACAAGTGGAGATAACATTACGCGGTCTTGTGAGAACAACCTTGATACGACCGACATAGCCCCGCTAGCATTCTCGGTTCTTTTTACTTTGCGACAAGTACTTTTTCAACGACGTTTTGGCTTCGTGTCCTCCGTTAGGACCTTTCGCTTCGATTCGTCTAGAAAGCCGAAGAGAAGCAAAGATGGGTGTTGTGCTCCTGCTATTTGCACAAAAAAAGAGAACACCAAAACAATAACGAGAAGCGAGCACTTGTGCGGTGGCGAGCGAGGATCCGCACGCTAAGCTTCGAATTTCCGATCATGTTTTTGCAACCGACGCGGCATTGCATCACGCCGTTTTCATTCCGAGACATGAAACATCATCAAAGTAGTATCTAAAAATGCTCGACAAAATGTACATGTAGGAACTGGAAAAAAAGGCAGAAGTTTCTAGGCCATCAGAAGACCCAGGAGGCTTCATCTTGTTTGGGTATCTCCAACACTTAGTTTCCCCTTGTTCTCCTGTTGGAAAAAGCAGCAAAAAAGTTGGTAACAAGGCTTATGTCCTCTCTTCCTAATGCCCTTACCCTCAGGGCGGAGCCCCGCACCTAGTCTTGAATCTTGTACTTCTGCCTTTTTCGCGACATCTTCGATGTGAAGAGAGGCCGATTTTGTCAGGCCCGTCTCTGTTCCACCTCCGGTTGGTGCACGTGCAGCTCTTTCGACCACACTGTCGTTGCATAATTGGTGGGAGCAGCTGCTGCCCGCCCTGTGAGGATCCCCATCAACGCCTGCAGTGTCTCCATGAGGCTCTTGCCGGGTTCTTTCTTCTAGTGCGGCTTTGATAGTACTTCTATCGCCATCAAGCAGAGTAAGCCCATTTCGTTCCCGTTCTACTTCCATATCTTCTTTACCAACATCCTGACACTTCTTGTTCCCTGCCAGCGAAGTAGACGAGGCAGTACTATTGGCCACGAGTTGTGCCGCGCTCGCTTTATCCTGAGTAAAAACGTACCCACACCAGAGTCAGGATGTGGATTTTGCAACACAAACCTAGGAGTTTTGTGAGTCACGCATGACAAGTTTCAGTCCGTAAGGTAGTGCAAGTTAGCAAGGAAAGCCGCATCACAAATCGACCTTCTGATCCTGTTTACAGCATTACAAGTTCCCAAACACGATTGAAAATGCCTGTCATGGGGTTGCGCATCACAAATGTTCCTGTCATGGCAAATCTGCATGACAACTCTGGGGTGGGGACGTTTTTACACAGGATACGCTTGTACCCTTAGTTATTTCATCGATTTATACGCAACATGAAGACCACGCAGTGACCATCACTTCTTCTGGAAGAAAAGCTCCGTGGTACAACTGGAGATATCATTATGCGGTCTTGTGAGAACACCCTATTAAATACGACCGACATAGCCCCGCTAGCATTCTCGGTTCTTTTTACTTTGCGACAAGTACTTTTTCAACGACGTTCTGGCTTCGTGTCCTCCGTTAGGACCTTTCGCTTCGATTCGTCTAGAAAGCCAACGAGAAGCAAAGATGGGTGTTGTGCTCCTATTTGCACAAAAAAGAGAACACCAAAACAATAACGACAAGCGAGCACTTGTGCGGTGGCGAGCGAGGATCCGAACGCTAAGCTTCAAATTTCCGATCATGTTTTTGCAACCGACGCGGCATTGCATCACGCCGTTTTGATTTCGAGACATGAAACATCAAAGTAGTATCTAAAAATGCTCGACAGAATGCACATGTAGGAACTGGAAAAAAAGGCAGAGGTTTCTTGACCATCAGAAGACCCAGGAGGCTTCATCTTGTTTGGGTATCTCCAACACTTAGTTTCCCCTTGTTCTCCTGTTGGAAACAACAGCAGAAGAGTTTGTAACAAGAATTATGTTCTCTCTTCCTAATGGTCTTAGCCTTATCCTCAGGGAGTTGTCCCGCAGCAGCTATTGAGCCACTTTGTGCCATTTTTCCCCTCCTCGCAACACCTTCGACGGGAGAAGTTCCTCTTATGGCCGATTTCTCCGTTCTAGTGCCATCTGTTGTACGTCTAGAGCCAACGTGTAGAAGTACTTGGTCCCCCGGCGAACAGCTACCTCGCTGCTCATCTTCTACTGGTAGCTCTTTCGTCAGGTCTGTCTCTGCTGTTCCGCCTCCCCTTGATGTTGGTCTTGGTGCTCTTTCGACAATAATAATGTCCGCGCCTACTTGGTGGACGCAGCTGCCCTTGTAGGGATCTTCCCCAACGCCTGCTGTGCCTCCATGAAGCTGTTGCCGTGTGGTCTCTCGTGCAGCTTCATCGCCGAGCAGAACCCCTCTTCGCTCCCGGTCTTCCATATCCTCTTTACCAACATCATAACCCTTGTTCCCTGCCAGCGAAGTAGACGAGGCAGTACTACTGTCAAATCCACTACCGCTCTTGTTCGCCGGTAGTCTTATACTAGTCTCCGTTTTAATGTTTTCCCTCGAAGATGATCCCCCACAGCTCGTCTCAATTTTTATCCTGCAGTACGTCTCGCACTTCTCCAACATGCGATGCCCTGCCGCCACAACCGCCGACAGCCCCCTCCGTTTTGAAAATGGCGACAAAACTTCTAGTGGAGCAACAGTTGCATCAGCGTCTTCTAGCTGTGCCGATTTTATAATTTCTTCAGTACTTCTTCTAGCTTCATCCTCTTGGTTCAACATCGGCTCCTCCTCTTGTTTTTCTGTAGCTGAAATAAACACTCTCTTGCCTATAATTCGCAGCTCCTCTACTTCGGACGACAGCAAGAACACCTTTTGCGCTTCGCTCTTCCGGCCTCTTCGTCCGACGGCGGCCTGCAAAAAAGCCAAGAAAACGAGGATCAGTATGCAGCTGACAAGGAAGAGGACCCAAACAGGGTCAGCAGGATGCAACAGCAGCTCCAGGCAATCGTGCAGGAAAGCGGTGACTTTTTCCCACTTCGGCAGTCCCGGGGCGTAGCGAATCCGGAGAATCGTGTAGTTGCGGGCCAGCATAGTTTGTAATGCGGCTTTAATATTCCATGATACGTTTCCATTATACAACGAAGCTATGTAAGTTCCAGCCTCGCCTCCTGCTTGTTGCACCATCGTGGCCGCAGGAGGTCCTGTCGCCGCCTGCAGTCGTCCTGGTTGTACTGACGCCACAGAAGTCACATCGGCTTGTCTTCCACCCCCTGCGCCAAATGAATCAAACCAGAGAACAACTACTACTACTACTTCCCCAATTTTTCCAAGAAAAGCGACCGTCACACCGCTCGCAAAAAGACAAAACCGCAGGAAAACCGCCTCCAACCCGAGGGTAAGAGACGCGATACCGGTCGCCACGGTGTCCAGTGTCGTTGATAGCCTTCTGGACAGTGCCTCTGTGGATAGTGACTCTCTGCCGGTACTACTGCCAAGATGAGATGAAAAATCATTTTCATCGTAGCCACAACACCACTCTCGCACATGAAAAGATCCTTCCCAAACCGGCGACACTGCGTTTGTTGTAACCCAGGTTTCACCAGCCAAGAAACCCGGCTCCAGCGTGTTCAGCACGAAGAACAGAATTTCCAGAAGCAGGTCAGAGAAGACGAAATTAACAGTTGCGATGAACCAACTCGAAAGCCCGCTGCAGACGTTGTCCAGGAATACGAGTATTCTTGCCGAACCAGCATAATAGGTCTCCGTAAAACTTGTGAAGCTACCAAGAAGCTCCTGCCCAAAGAACTCGCTTACCGCATCCGAAGAGATAATAGACGACACATGCTCATCAAGATGATTTGTGTGCTCTTCAGAAGATGGTGCTCCTAGTACTTTATTTGTAGTTGTACCTGCTTGGTGATAAAGAACCTGATCGGCGACCGTACTTGTGAGTGTAGATGCAGCTGCAAGTCCCTGTTCGTAGTTTTTCATCGTCTTTACTAGAAAACTACGAGCAGCTCGTAGTCTTTTCTAGATGATACTAGTGAGCGCGTTTTTTAAGCGGGCATGATCCAGCTCAAGCTCGACTTGTCACTACGCACTTGCAAATAAAAACCGATGTTGGCTGCACTATCAGTTCGAGATGGGTCGATGGGCTGCATGAGGTGGTTGAGGCCCTGGCCAGTGCAAAAAGATATTAATACAAAAAAACCGTCTCTTCCTTAACATGATTTTGCACGAAACGCACACAGAAAACGAAAAAAAGTAAACTACGAGTAGTAGTGCTTGGGACCACACCGGGACGAAGATAAGGACGAGCAGAAATGAAGAACGACGTATTAAAGTAGACTTCTAAATAATTGTATTTCCTACTTCTCCCTGCCTGTTTGAAAGCCAACGACGACAGGGACGACCAGGACGACAACTACTGAAGATATTGCACAACAGGATAACTTCGATTTTGTTCCTCTTTTCAACCTTTTATTAACGACGAGCAGCTCCTGGTACCTAACCGCTAAAATCGCGAGTGAGAAGTACTAGGGCGAATCATCTCCTTCTCCTCAATATGCATTTTTGGGACTGGGCCTGGGCGGCAAGGGCAACCAAAACGCTCCCGAAAATAAAGTACACATTTCTAAATGATGCGGGAAGGACGAGGAACAGACAGCAAAGTCGGTGCTGAGGAAGCAAATAGCACATCACACCCAACGCCAGCAGCCCGCCAGAACGGGTTTCTTTCTGTTTTGTTTTTTTTCGCGTTGCAAGAAAGTTCGAAAAATACTGCTGGGGATAATATCTCGGGGGGGTGTCAGATTTGCATCATCAACGTCCAACAGAGGGATAAGCAGTTTCTCATCTTCTTCTCATTTCCACCTCGTCACGAACCAGGATTTTTATTACATCTAGAAGTTTATTCGTGCAGGATTTTTAGTACATCTAGAAGTTTTTCATCTGCAAAAATTCATTGCCTGCCTACTAACTACGAGGAGCGCGTCGCTTATTTTCTAGGAGGTTAGAGCCTCGTCACGACAAGGAGGTGAACAGTGCTACTGGCGTGGTAAAATTGGCGTAGAAAAATAAGCTCATAGTAACATTTCTATACTCCCTACAACATCCATGCGCAGTCTGTCCGCTCCAGCCACCACGTTCCCTTCTTTCGTCGGCCTAACCAGAAATAAAACAGTCTGATGAATACTGTCTACGTCTACGTCAGCTACACGCCGCCGGCTGAAGTTTGGCGCGAGATTGTAAAGTAAAAAAGCAGCTCCCTGTTCTTGATCTTGGCTGGTGACCCTCACTGTGGTCGATAGATGCAAAAGTCTGACTAACACTTGCGGAACGCGTTTTTCTTTTCAAAGATGGCGGGGCCGGGGGGCTATACGTTATGATAATCGGGGGAATCATATATACCGTACTTATGCATGCGACTCGGGGGGCTGTGAAAGTGAAAGTGGAACTACGGGGTCGCCAAAAAGTCTACGATACTTTGGGTGAAATTGTGGGGGAGTGCTTTTTTTTCTGTTTCGAAGATCAAACTGAAGCGCAAGAGCTGCACTACAACTGCTTCCTTGTGCGGCCGCCGGTCAAAATCCTCTTCACAGCAGCAGTAGAAATATGTTGAGTACAATTATCGAAGTCCAGGACTGTGTCACAGTCCTGGACTTCGATACAGTGAGCAGCCGGCTACTAAAGAAAGCCCGCTGGCTCACAGTGAGCCGGCGGGCTTTCTTATTCCCGCGCAACTACTATACATAGGGATACTATGGCGCCCAGTTCTTTATCGAAGAAAAACGGCGATGGGAGATGCTTGTGGTGAAACAGGAAAAGAGGGTCTTCTAGGCAATAGTTTGTTGTAAAAAATTGTAAAAAAAAAGAGCATATGCGAAACAAAAAAAATCAATATCAAGTTTAAACGTTGAGCGATTATGTTTTTTATCAAAATGAACTGGCATAAAAAAACGAAAAAAACAGAAGATTACGTAGCTGCGTATTTGTGATAATCAAAAAAAAAAGCGCTTACTTTTAGACCGTTTTGTTGCAAAAAAATGTAGTTGTGTATGTACCTGTAGTGTCATGTAACAAACTTAAAGTTGTACTAGGTGCATATTCAGAAAAAAAAAGTTCCACTTGTGTAATGAAGAGAGCCACCTGCTTCTTCCCGCGGCCTGCTCAGGTGTAAGGTAGTCGGACAAGGTGCTGGTCCTTCATCAAAATGTAGTCTGTCCGCGCAGAAAAATGAGGAAAAATCCGTGATGGCAAGGACAATCTCCGCGTGCACTGCGTTCCTCGCGACCTGTTTTTTTTTGTCATGCGGAAGTGCAATGGTAAAGCAGGTTCTTCGTCATCAATTTGTGACAGCATCTTCAACAACCACAAAGCACTACTCAAAAGCACTTTATTCTACCTTCAGCACATCATGGCTCAGTCCGCGCATGAAAATGAGCAAAAAATCCGTGACGGCCAGGACAATCTCCTCATGCCCTGCGTTCTTCTCAACCTGTTTTTTTTTGTTTCGTTTGTCATGCGGAAGTGCAATGCTAAAGCAGGTTCTTCGTCATCAATTTGTGACAGCATCTTCAACAACCACAAAGCACTACTCAAAAGCACTTTATTCTACCTTCAGCACATCATGGCTCAGTCCGCGCATGAAAATGAGCAAAAAATCCGTGACGGCCAGGACAATCTCCTCATGCCCTGCGTTCTTCTCAACCTGTTTTTTTTTGTTTCGTTTGTCATGCGGAAGTGCAATGCTAAAGCAGGCCCTTCGTCATCAATTTGTGATAACATGAACAACGATCGTCGTCTAGATCAACATCAACTCCTGCTTCAGAACAGAAAAATAAACTCAAAAGCATTTTATTCTACCTTTAGCCATGCCTTAGGCCGCCAGCAGGAGCTTCTTCAAGAACGAATACAGGTCGAATTGTATCGGATACTATCCAAGAAAAAAACTGTGTAAGTGTAACTTTCTTTGGCTGACAGCATCACAAATTTGCTCTACATGACAGAGAAAACCTGTCATGCGCGGCTTGTAAGGGAAAACACACATGAAAAAAGAGCTTCGTGGTTGTGTGGCATGACAGGCGTAAGTCTGTTGCATATTCTGCATTACAGAGTTACACTTACACAGTTTTTTTCTTGCATAGATACAGTGCAGAATTCATTTCCTCCCGTTGTTCTTGAGTCATAATTTCTAGTACTTGACTCTGCCCTCGTTCTTCTCCACGAAATGGGCAAATGTTTTTGTATGTTGTTCCAAAACTTGTTTACAACATGAGAAACGCGTCCTCTCGTTCTGCCGGCTGCCCCTCTGGGTCGTCATTGACTTCGAGAAAACAATATCCAGTGCAAATGTCGTGTCGGGGTCTGGATTATCAAGATAATTCCGAGGCTTGTCATGCTGATTTTCCATGATCCATGTCGTCTGGAATGCAGGACCTAGCATGACAGATTCTGTGAGATGATCCCTATCATGCCTATGATCCTGCATGAGAAACTTCCTCTCTAACTCTACTTGGTCAAAAGTGGACAGCTTTTGGCATTCATGCAACACACATTTTTGCACGATCCAGAATTAGCATCACAACTTGCATCCTTCCAGACCCAGACACAAGTATTTGCAATGCATAAACAACTGCCTTCTCCGCACAGTTTTTCGCTCGGAGTATCAAAAGGAAAAATGCCCCCTCCCCATATCAAAACGAAATTTCTGATGCTGGAGTTCCGTACACAGATCGGATTTGTCTTGCAGTGGAGAATTGCAGGCATACGCCAAGCCTGAGCTGAGAGGTTTTGACTTAGGCAACTAGCATAACCAATGTCTTCTATGCTGTAAGGCGAGCAGCATCACAAACCGCCTGCATAATGTGGCGGACTCTACTCTGGGCTTCTTGCCTTCTTGCAAGACAGACAGGATTTGTGGTCACAAATCTGCATCACAAATTCTGAGACGGATGCGTTTTCCATATGGGGAAGTAGGGGGATTTTTCCTCACAATACGGAGGCTCCGCCAAAGGGGCGAGAGAAGCTGCCACGCACTCACCCGCGGAGTCCTCGAACCCCTCGGCGCACTCATCGCACTTGCCGCTGGTGGCGCCCTATGCATTGCAAAATAGTATCGTACTCGTATGAATGCATTACAAGTTTCCTCAGCATGAAAAATAAAAATTTGTAATGCGGATTTACCTTACGAAAAGACTTTGTAATGCACGATTGCAATACGAGTACGATACTTTTCACTAGGGTACGCCCAGCTTGTAGCCCTCGTCGCACTCGGTGCACTTTTCCTCCTTGTCCGGACACTGGTCGCCAGCGGCGCCGTATCCAAGAAAAAAACGTTGTTAGTGTAAATTTGTAATGCGCAACATGCAAGATGATTGCGTCTGTCGTGCTTATTAGGGCCCATTAAAGGGCGTTTTCACGTACTATCTGCGCATGACAGGTTTTTGCTGTCATGCCCGACAGATTTGTAATGCTGCTCCTCCAAAAAAGTTACACCTACAACGTTTTTTTCTTGGATACGCCGGTGCCGTGCGTGCAGGGGCAGTCGGACAGTGTCGTGGTCGCACAAGTTCCGTCGCTTTGCCGCTCGAGCTATCAGCTGCACATATGTCTGGGTCTGGAAGAGTGGAACGCTCGTCATGCACATTTTGCATCACCCATGATGTTTGTGATGCATGCCCTAGCATCACAGGTTTTTTACGGGCTTCTTGATGTTGCCTCTCCCGCATGAAGAGAAATGCCGTCTGCGAACGCATAGCAACAACTGGAGTCCTCCTGCTGCTCTTCATGCTGTAAAAATTTTTTTAGAGTCCAAAGCTATAGCATGACAAGTTGCAATCTTCCAGGAGACCCAGACAAATTTGCAATGCATACAAGCCCCTCTTTGCACACGCACAGGCTCTCTCCGTGCGTCGGACATGCCTCTCCCGTCGCTGCGACCTCGGTGTCTGCCCCGCTATCCCAGAAAAAAACTGTGTCAGTGTTACTGTTAGGTGTCTTGGCGCGACAGCATGACAAATATGTAGTTCTGCATGACCACAGAGAAAACCTCCTGTCATGATGCGCAGCCAGTACGTAGGGCAACACATATGAACAAATCGGACTCTATAATCCCTGGCTAGCATGACAACTGTATACTGTGTTCAGCATGCTTTCCATCACAGATAACTTACATTTACACAGTTTTTTTTTTTTGCATACCCGCTGTCGCACGTGCACTCGTTTATCACCTGTAAAAATGTCTGGGTCTGGAAGGGTTGGAACTTGTGATGCAAACTCTGGAACACGCAAAAATTTGTGTTGCATGAGCGCCAAAAGCTGTCCATTTCTTGGCACGCAAGTAGGAAGTTTCTCATGCGGGACAGGCATCATGAGGCGTGCCAAAAACCTGTGATGCTTTTGCCTGCATCAGACGCCATTTGGGTGATCCGAAATACGCATGACAAATCTCGCAATCTTCCAGACCCAGACATTTTTACACTTGATATCATTCGCCACGCAGCCGTTTCCAGCGTCGTGAAACCCGGCATTGCATTTTTCGCACTTCACCTCATCCGTATGCATCGCAAAAGCATCGCACTCGTACTAATCGCAATCATGCATGACAAGTCTCTTTTTCAAGCTACATCAGCATGACAAATCTCATTCGTCACGCTCCGCTATTAATTTGTATTGCACTAGTACAAGCACGATAGCGATGCTTCTGCAATGCATAATTCGCGGCACAGACCAAATCCGCCACCGGAGTACCCTATCAACCAAAAACATGTCTGGCGTCTGAGTGAATGCAGATTGTCATGGTGTTTTCGCACGACCCACCAGGTCGTCTCGCTTGCAGGAAAGTCCTAGCATCAAAAAGTTCTTGAGAAAGGACATTTTGCAGTGTTGCGTAAAAATCCGCATATAATCAGCAGATGCCCTCATCTTTCGGTGACATCACAAAAGCAAGGGGGCAAAATTCTGTTCAAATTTTGTGTCCAAGGCAAGTGCACGACAGATTTCTGCGTGATCTAAGAAAATACGCATCACAACATTGAGTTCGCACTCATCCAGACCCAGTACATGCACTATGCGTATCCCGTGGGGGCAAGAGCAGGCAAGAACGTTTTCCGCACAATGCCCAGTTTCTGCCTCCGCGTGTGTTCCCGCCGGGCAGGCCGCGACGCAGGTCTGGTTTGCGGCGTGCCAATGCGGCGTGGCCTGCGGGCAAGCGGTGCAGTCCTGATCAGTCAGGTTCCAGTTCGGCCGGTCCGCGGGGCAAGTCGTGCAGGGGCACCACTTGCTCATGTACTTAATGTTGCTCCTTCCGCTTCCGGAGGGCAAGTCTAACGGAGCCAGTTCATCTATCGTCAGGAAAAATCCCCCCTCCCCATGTTGAACAGCCATGCTGTTGAAGATTTGCGGCGCTGATTTGTGGCCACAAATGGCGTCTGTCTCGCAAGAGGGCAGATTTAGAATGTCCGCCGCATTATGCAGGCGGTCTGTGATGCTGTTCGACCTAGTACAGCGTCAACGTCTGTCATGCTAAGCGCCTAGGCCAAAACCTCTCGGCTCAGGCTCGATATAGGCCTGCAATTGCAAGATCTGATTTGTGTACGCAAATCCAGCATTAGAAACTTTGTTTTGATATAGGGAGGAGGGATTTTTTCCTTTTAATATCCACTTCCGGATAGGTGTTGTTGAAGAACCGGCACCTCCACTTATTACCACCATCCAGGGTTTCGTCATCTGTGCTCTTGAAAACCAGAAAACCCTTGCACGAGTCGCCGTGCTTTTTGGCGCACGTTTTCTCACACTCTGGTAACTGACCGCTGCCGCTGGTCGCTTGCTTTTGGTCCTGCCCGTATTCGCTCCAGTTCAGCGTCAGATCGAGGATTGTGGGGCGAACGTTCGTGGCGTTCGCCTCCAGCTTGGGCGCACAACGGGAATGCCCGGCGAAGGGGCTTCTCACGAACATACCTTTGCCGTTTGTCTCAACGATTTCCGTAATTGCAGCCGCCTGGCAGTTTATCTCACTCGGGGCCGTCGGGCAGGTGAGTTCGCAGGTCTCCGCCTGGCACGGAACGTACGGGGCGTCGGGGTCATCTTGTTTTTCTTTGACCTCCGTCCAGCCACTGGTGGTGTTTCTCTTGTAGCCACCTAAGCACGCACACTTACCGTCGGAGGCCCGTACGTTTTCAACTGCAACAGGAGTACCGCCGTCACTTAGTGTCACGGTGTCATCACAAACGGGAGCCTCACACGTGTCCCCTTGCATCTCGTACCCGTCTTCGCATTCGCAGGCATTCCCGTCCTCGTTGGGCTTCATTCTGTCGCCGCACGCGACGCACACTTTGTCTGTATCCTGTAGAAAAACGTACCCAACTACCTAGAATTGTCCTGCCAATCTTTTTTTTTTCGAAACTTTTCGCGCATGGATTTCAGTTAATTCTCTTTGGATTTTCTTTTGCTTCTCGGAGAAGCAAAAGAAAAAGAGAGCACTCGACTCCCCCTGGCAGCCCTTTAGAAGAAGTCGTGTTTGGAAATTCGTTATGCTAGTGAGTTGGCTATGCGGCTAGGGACGCTAGCCAGGACTGCCTTGCATGTCCAAAGTTCAAGTTCTGCTTGTCATGCGTAAGTTCCAAAAGAAGAAGAACTTCTGGATTATTTGTCCTCTAGATGTAGCAAATCATGACTGTAATTATTTCTATTTCCCGTCTGACCTATACAGGGTACTGGGTAGGTTTTTCCACTAGGGATAGTCGGCACCAGGGTAACCGTTCGGGCACTCCGCGACGCACTGGTGACTGTTGCTGTCCCAATTGGGTGCATGTGCATCTGCAAGACACTCCTTGCAATTACTGCCCCGCGCACCAGTCGGGTCGAAGAACTTGCCATTTGGACAGGTATTGCAGGGGCACCACTTGCTGAGGTGCCGAATTCTGTCGTTCTCCGTGTCCGTCACATTGTTGCTGTCTGGATAAGGATAATGGGTTCCAGCCTTGGTACCAAAGCAATAGCACTTCCACTTGTTGACGTTGTCGCCGTCTTGTTTGGTATTGAACGTGACAAACCCTTCGCACTCAGCATTTCCAGCGCACTCTGTTTCGCAATCCTCTGCAGTCGGGGCCAGTGCCCCTTTCCCGCCGTCTGCTTCGTACGTCATAACGTTGTCCGCGAACAGCTGTTTGTGAGTCTTGCCTGCAATATCCTTTATGCAATGCAAATATGTGGTCTGGGTCTGGAAAAGTTGTACACCTTGTAGCAATTCCCAACAGGAGGATCGAACTTGCAGTCCAACTAACTTGTTGGTTGGTTAGTTGCGCGATCCGGAGTACCCGGAATACAAGGCCATAGGGGCACGATCGATCGCCGAAGCCGCTGATAACCAGGCAACAGCCATCCGGTTGCCCTGGGGTCATTCGCTGGCCAGGCAAAAATGCTGCCTGTGGATTGTAAAAACATCCGTATTGCATGAGCAGCAAGAGGCGTCCACTTTTTGCTACGCGGAAAGAGGATCAAAAAGCACTCAAAAAATCCTCGGTGCAGCTAGGGCATACATCACAGAGAGCATGCGTCATGCAAAATGTGCATGGCAGCTGTTGCAATCCTTTTCCCGACCCAGATATATTTGCAATGCATATCGTTCAGCGGACCACAAGCATTCTCCGCAACCGGGTGCGTCACGAACCTGCCCCCTTGAATTTTCGTGTCGGACCCGTAAATCGCATCATAGTCCTTGCACATGACTTCGACGGGGCACGTCAGGTCGCAATCCATGACACAAATCCCGCCGTCATCCTTGTACCCGTCCTTGCACACACAGTCTCCGGCAACGTTCACCTCTTGGTTGGCGCCGGTGCATTTACACTTCTGCGAGTTGGTATCAAACGTCTGGCCATCCTTGCACTCCGTACAGGGGCACCACTTCTGGACGCCGTATGCCATTCTGCCTCGATACGGAGTGTATGCATTGCAAGCATGTCTGGGTCCTCTGGAACATTGCAACTTGTGATGCTGGGTCCGGAGCACACTAAAATCTGTCTTGCACCATCGTGAGCAGAAATGAAAGCGCACACTTTTTCTCACGACCCGCACGGGCCATTTCTTTTTATGCGGACTAAGCACAAGGAAGACCCCTTCGCGGATCTTGTTATGCTCCGCGTGCATCGCGGACCTTCTACTCGCAGGTCCCCACTAATATGTATCCGTATGCAAAAATCTGCATTCTCCCAGGCCCAGACAGATTTACAGGTCATAGCGTGCCCTCTGGAACCATTGCCAACTCGTCCAGCACGTCAACACCCTCTGACCCGTCGAAGTATACACACCGCCATTTTGTCTTACCATCAGAATCCGCCCCCGTCAGATCACCTATATCCCAAGCTTCATCTACCGCCTTCTTTGCCCCCTTCCACAGCACGAACCCGAGGCACTCGTCCTGTGAAGCACAAAACTCCTCACACTTTTCCTTCTGGTTCCAAGCTATGCGGTGCAAATATGGAGCTGGGTCCCGTTGTCATGCATTTTTGCATTGCTCAGAAATAAATCTGCACTACATGCCGAAGCAGTCGATGTTTTCTTGCGACGACGCTCAGCGACCACCATGCGAAAGCGACCGACCATATCTGCGTGTCGTGACAAGAAATAAAGCGGGGCCGCTTTTACTACCTGTGCACAGTACGGCCAACGGGAAGTGACTTTAGCACAAGCTCGCATTTATTCTTCAGAGGACTCAGCCATATGTATTTGCACGGCATAACATGGTTACTGGCTTGCGTTGCGTCCTCGTAGGTGGTGCGGAAGCCGGTGAAATCGAACACCATTTCTGCTAGATTATCGGCATCTCCTTCAAGTGGCAGAAAACATTTCCCCGCCGCGGCCGGGTCCACCCCGCTGGACACATACACCCCAGGTTTCTCAGACGGCGGTTCACCGAAACGAGCATCCTTGACCGCATTCGACTCGCAGTTTATTTTCGCAGGATCCGTCGGACACGTGAAGTCGCAGACCTCCTCACAAGGTTTAATAGTAAGAGGCTCGGACCGCAAAAGAGCTTTGGTGACCCATGCTCCCGTGAGCCAATGTTTTCTCGCGTAACCCGGGTTGCACCCACATTTTAGGCAATAAGAATTTTCACCGATGGTGAAGCAATTGGTCTCTACTTCATGCTCACCGTCACACGGATAGATGTAAGCAGAAGCATGTGACGCAGTTTTCTGCTGCACCCGCGTCGTCACCACAGCCTCCACACCGAGGAGAAGGCTTATCCCGCCGCCGCCAAGCAACGCGGGCGTGACGGCCGACATCACGGAGGGCAGCCGCATCCTCACTGTCGTTTTCCGCGTGGTCGTTTTTCCCCTGGTCGCGGCGGAGAGACAAACGCCCGTAGTTCCAGTGGGAGGTTGCCTCGTCATGGTGGTTTCTGTACCAGGGTAGATGAAAAAAAAAGGCTCTACCAGGGTAGATGTGTCTTTAAAAGAATGAAGTCCGTGGTCTCGTCTTCACGACCTTCAGTGTTTGATAGTAGGGTTTTTCTCGGGAACGAGTTCAACTACGAAAAGAAAGGTCCATGCGGATGGTCCTCCTGTTGGGCGCGATTCGGAAGATGATAAAGATGCATTTGAATTTTCGCAGGCGAAAGAAAACGGGACGAGCGAACGAAACCAAACAAAAACTACGATGGGAAGGAAAAATGACAAAAACCGGTTTGTTGTACGGCGACGAGGTCTTTTTGTTTTTTTGGATGTCTTGAATAATCGGACGAAATGCCGTACGAATCTGTATAGTTCTTTTTCCCAGGAGCACGAGACAGAGTTCAAGGCATTCTTTTGCACGACGTCAGATTCATTCTGCTGCACGATCATTTGAAAATAGATCTACGGCATCTACGTACGCTCATAAAAAACTTCATGCAACACGGTTGCAATGGCCATGCCGGCTAGTGTCCGCCAGGGCTGGATGAATACTTTCGACAACGCGAGCGGCACAGGACACTTGTGTTTTGCCGTGTGCGAAATGAATTTTTTGCGGCAATTGCTCAATATCCCAAAAAAATTTCCTAATCGAAAGCCATCACGTGTACGATTCACGACAAGAGACATTGTTCAAAATCAAATTATGGACGACTATACTGGCGTTTGTGTTCGTAAGAGCCTTTTTTTGTTGAACAGCGACGTCGCGTGAACTACGTCAGATTTTTCGCAGAAGATTCTCACCTTCACCTACCAGCAAAACCCGCGGGAGCAAGGTCCTACTCTTAGTTCTTGCAGCAGCTTCATATTGATAGACAAAACGCGTCGTTTTAGTGGGGGGATAATGAGGGGAAGAAAATCCTTTCCACATCACATCAGTCTGGAAGACTTTTATAGTTTTTTGCAAGTTCAACCTCCGGTTGCAGAGAGGAACAAGCTTGTAGCTACGGATAACAGAATCTCAGTTGAATCTTCTTCCACACGCCCGCGGACAACACAACTTCTGTTCCGAGGCTTGTTCTTTCCGATTGCCGCTCTGGTTTGAGGCTGGACACTTTTCTTTGTAATCCCACCTTGATGATCTCCCTCGTTCTTCTCGCAAAAATACGACTAAAAAACTTCCACAGGAGTACGCGGACGCAGGGGTGGCTGTGTAGTCCTTGCACGGGGTCCTATCGATCTGGAGAGGGCTATTTTTTCTATTCATTTCTAGGGTGTTCCTGCTGGGGACATCGACATTCAAATCGTATAAATATATCGGTGGGGATTTGATTTTTGAAAAAAAACCGTGGGGGTCTAGTACTTTGTACGTCCTTCACAAAGCGGGGCGCTTTGTTCTCGCAGATTGGGATCCTCACGGCAGTACTAGAAACCTGAGAAATCATGAGCGAAAAAATAAAAACCTTATAAAACGAGTGTGAAATAAAACTGAAAGTAGCTGAAGTGTCAAAATGCAAATTTAGCGGAAGGATTGGTGTCGTGGTCGTGTGAATAAACTGTAGTGTACTATGTGAAACAAACTTCTAATTTGCATGTTAATGTGAAAAATTGTGCCTGAAAAATGTGCGTGCGAAACCTTGTGAAAAATCAATTCTGCATAATAATGAAAAATCTTCGCGTTTATGAAAAATTGTGGAAAAAAAGAAACATTTAAAAGGTAGATCGAGCAGCGGTCGATTTGCATCTGCAGCAAGAAGAATGCACTGCGTCTTCTTGATGATAGATTGATAAAGCTTCGAAACAAAAAAAAAAAAAAAAAAAGAAGTAAAGAGATCGAAGAATCACCCCTTTCGGGAAGAACTTGTGTAATTGTTCCAACTTCAAGGAGTTTTGGGTTTTTCCACGTCAACCTTCTAAACTTCGGTATGAAGTAGAGAATTCCAATTTTCATTTACATTTTATTCTCAGTAACGAATTTTTACTTCCTTTTGTGCGCCGCCGAAACATTTTGATGAGGCCTCATCCTTCACACTGCCCCTGCAGCTCACAGCATCAGAAACCCCGTGTCCACATCCGTCGTGTCCATAAGGCCCTGGCTCTGGCTGTCTATCACAAGGAAAAATAATTCCCCCCTTCCGATCATTTCAACAAAACAATAACAAGACCAGGCAGTACATATAACTATTTGAAAACTATCTTTCCAAGCCCGTCTTCTCGGTAATTCTTCAGCGGGCTAGCGATTGAACAACATGACAGATATCTTTAACTTTATTTTCGACCACGTGTAGTGCACACAAAATGCGTGGCTAGTACAGAATGGCTGCAGACTGCGCTTGCACGAGGACCAGCACAAGAACATGGCTTCCTTTTATTCCGCTGTACGCTAGGGGACGACTACAAAGCTGATAATTATACAAATCGGCATCCACTACTTCACGGAAGGAAAAAACTTTCTGCTTTGCAGTTTGCGGAGGGGGGAATGAATTTTCTGAACCCTACTGCTTTCCTGCTCCCCGCCGGTGGCCTATCCTGAGTAAAAACGTCCCCACACCAGAGTTGTCATGCAGATTTGCAATGACAGGAACATTTGTAATGCGCATCGCCAGGAGAGGCATTTTTAGTCGTGTTTTGGAATTTGTAATGCTGTATACAGGATGAGCAGATGGATTTCTGATGCAGCTGGCCTTGCGAACCTGCACTACAATACGGACTGCAAGTTGTGATGCGTGACCCCCAAAAGTTCTAGGTTTGTGTTGCAAAATCCTCATCTTGACTCTGGTGTGGGGATGTTTTTACTCAGGATATGGCCTGGCTCATCGGTTCGCCCCCGACCTCCAGGAAGCACCCCCTATGCATTGCAAATATGTCTGGGTCTGGAAAGTTGGAGCTTGTGATGCTACCTTTGGATTCTAAAAAAATCTGTATTGCACCATGACCAGCAAGAGGAGGAGCCCAGTTTGTGCTACGTGGGGAGGGCATTTGTCACGCGGAAGAGGCATCAGGAAACCTGCTAAAAATCTGTGATGCTAGGGCATACATCACAGACATTATGGCTCATGCAAAACGTGCATGACAAAGTTGCACTCATCCAGATCCAGACATATTTTCATTTGATACCCCCCGGGGCCGCACAGCTTCTCGTTTGGGTCGGCGGGATTGCACAGAGTGTCCTCTACGGGGCTCGGTGTCGTGGTGGTGGGGACCACCGCAACGGTGTCCGTCGTGGTCGTCGTGGTGGAAGTGGCGTTCTGCCCGGAGGTGGACTCCACGCAAGCTTGTATGGAGTTCTCAAACGTGTTACACTCTCAACTGTTGCGTGAATTTGTGGTGCAAGACTGGCAAAAGTGAAAGGGCGAAGATTGCGCTTCTGGCATTACAGGTTTATTGGGGCGGCAGATTCTTAAATGCTATCTGGAGCGTCGAGAACTTGTCATGCGAAGGAGCAGCTTGTTGATCATTATCATGTAGATACTCATGACGATTTTGCATGACGAATTCATGTATACAATTGAGAATCTGAACGTTTGAGAACCCCATAACTTGTTGTGTCGCGTTGTACTCGAAGTTCTCCGGGCACGTGGCGTATCAAATGCAAATATGTCTGGGTCTGGAAGGTTGTAACTTGTAATGCTAGCTTTACATTCCTGGGAAATCTGTATTGCATAACCGACAAAAGCCGCAGCCATTTTTGTCATGCAAAGACGCAGTTTCTCATGCGGGCTGCCTATGAGAAAGTGCTCCGGACAGTTGTCATGCTGGTCTGCATTCGGAAGCGTTTCCATCATGCACATTTTAGCATCACAAGTTTCCAGACCCAGACATTTTTGCATTTGATATGGCGCAAGCGTTCGCACCCGCGTCCCAGAACTGGTCCGCAGCGCAGCCCACGCATTCGTAGCCCGTGCTGTTCCAGACCGGCTTCGGGGCCGCACAGGTCACGCAGGTGTTTTCCTGCGGGTTCCAATGTTGTCCCGGTAAACACGTGGTACACTGTAGTTTCTTCGAGCTGTCGAAGTGCTGGTTCTGGTTGGAATCGCACGCGACGCACTCATCGCCCGCGTCGTTCGGGACCATTTCCGAGTCGGCGCACAAACTACAGGAGTTGTAGTCTGACCCCGCGTAGCCGGCCGACAAATCACACACACAGCGCTCCGAAGCGGCATCGTACACGGTAGTGGTTGGGTATGAGAGTGCACAACCCCACCCCTCCACCTCATTTGTTGACAAATGCCAGCACATGAACATGTGGAACTGGAACCTGGTGTTGTGCATGACAAGTTCACATGCCGAAAGTCGCAATGTTTGGGCTTCTGCTGGAATTTGTCATGCATAGTAGTGAAGAAAGCGAACTACATCTGAAATTGCGATTTTGCATGCGAAATGAAAACACCGGGGACGACGAGTTGCGCACTCTCATATCGGACATTCGGTGCAGGGACACCACTTTGAGGCGAACCCCACGCGGTCCCGTATCAAAATGAAAAATCCCCCCTCCCCACATCAAAAGCAAACTTTTGACGCTGGACTTGCGTACTTACACAAACCGGGCTTGTCTTGCGGTAGAGAACTGCAGGCCCATATAATCACGCCAATGCACCGAGGTGGTCTAGGCACTTGGCATGTGGGTGGACGTCTATGCTGTAGGCCCGACAGCATTACAAACCGCCTGCATAATGGGGCGGAGAGTATGCCGCTGCTTTCTTGCAAGACAGAAACGATTTGTGGCCACAAATCAGCATCACAAATTCTCTGAGGCGTGCCTTTCGATATGGGAAGGGGGGATTTTTCTTTTCGATATCCCCGAAAGTTTCGTTCCAAGCAATGTGCTATCAACTGTAAAAATGTCTGGGTCTGGAAGAATCGAACTTGTCATGCTGATTTTGGATTCTAAAAAAATCTGTATTGCATGAGCAGCAAAGAGAGTCCAAATTTTGCACCACGGAAAGAGCATTTGTCATGCGGAATAGGCATCAGGAAGCCCTCTAAAAATCTGTGATGCTAGGGCATGCGTCACAGACTTGAGGAGTCATGCAAAATGTGCATGACAAACCCGGCAATCTTCCAGACCGAGACATTCTCACATTTGATATGTGCATCAGGGCGGGCACGGTTTGGTTGAAGTACTTGCAGCCCCACTCGTCGGCGGCGTCTTCTACCGAGCCATTGTTCGCATTCCAGAGCAGATACCCCACACAGTCGTCCGCGGTGGAGGTCGCGCGGTGGCGGTCGCATTGCTGAGCGCACCGTGGCTCCTGAATCCCGATGGTTTCATTCGTTGGGTCATCCGGTTCCCTATCCAATGTAAAAATGTCTGGGTCTGGAAACTTGTGATGCTGTGTGGCGTATCATGAGGAGGCGACAATTGCTGGCTCAGCATGACAAGTTTCTGAGCTTCTAGGTGTTGCTTATTCTGCATGACAAACTACGTTTCTGCATGACAGAAAAGTGAGGCTCTTTGGTAATGTGCATGACAGATTTAAGAGTCATGCCAGACAAGCATGACAGACTTGCATTCTTCCAGACCCAGACATTTTTACATTTGATATTCCCAAACGCCATCGCCCACCACCGCCGCCAGGAGGGCGTCCGAAGTGTTGCCCGGCGCGCACCGGGACTGACCGCCGAGGGCGCTCTGCACGTAGCGGCCGCGCGAGCTGGTGAATGCGTCTGCCGCGCAGTTGATTGCCGCCGGGTCCGCGGGGCAGGTCCTCACGTCCAGCTCGCAATCCTCGAGCCGGCAGCCGCCCTTCCCATCGTCGACGAGCCAGCGGGCGGCGTCGCACACGCAGGCGGTGCCGCGCGCGTCGCCCACCTTGTTTGCGTCGCAGTCGACACACGCATTGGATGTGGCGTCCCAGGACTGGTTTGTGGCGCACCCCACACACACTTCGCCCGTGCTGTTCCAGTGCGGCGCAGCTTCCTCCGTGCACTGCACGCACGCGTCACTCGTTGTATTCAGGTGCCACCCGGCGCTGGCGTTGCAGCCGCACGCAGTCCCGTTGGAGTCCGGCTCTTTGTTGCCCGTGCAGAGCAGGCACGCACCGGCCCCGTCGTCGATGTACCCATTTTCCGTGTCGCACGCGCACGCGTCCCCCGCCTCGTTCTATCAAAGTGAAAAAAGCCTCCACCCCATATCGAAAACGGAAGATGCGCGAATTTGTGATGCTGTATCTGAGTACACAAATCGACTTGTATTGCTAGAAGTCGAAGAGACGACGCTGCGGGCTAAATTGCAGGCAATCTGTCATGCTGTTTCCCACTTCCAGTTGCCTCCTGTCATCCTGGAGCTGCAAGGCTTTCCCACGCTAGGCAGCACTACAGTCCGCATCTTTTGCCTTCTAGCATCACAAAGCTGATTTGTGGCCCCAAATTTGCATCACAGATTTCCGTTTTGATATGGGGAGGGGGCATTTTTCATCGTAATACGTTCGACGTCTTGTTCACGGCACAACCCTGGCAAGCCTGCGCTGTCTCGTTCCAGATCTCGGTGGTCTGATTACACGTGGTGCAGGGGCACCACTTCGCGGCACCTCTGATTGTGGGTGATGATCCTCCTGCGGCACGTCTATCAGATTGGAAAAAGCCTTCCCTGGGACGACCCATTTTTTGCTTACAACGCAAAGGGGTAAAGTATCTATCTACAACTGCGGTCACTGTGCCGGATCCCTGTAGTACATAACGCAGCAACGTGCTCGAGGCTGATTCTGATCCTAAACTGGGTTGTGCATGTGTTAGCTGCTCGACCGGGCAGACGTTTCATGATCTGCTGGTGCTGTAGTCAAATACAATGCAAAGCAGCTACAACTTGGTGTTGCCGTTGCCGCGCGAGACGATGAGAAGTCCTGTAATAGCAATAGCAATACATATATCTCTGACTTCACTATAGGGACGAGGGGAGACTTCGTTTTCCTCGTGATAGAAGGATGCTCGCTCCAACGCAGGCACGGTGCG